TCTTGTTTTTTACAACTCTTTTCAAACTGACAGATAAACAGACCAGGTCTCCAAACCACATGACTAACCTCGTAAAAGAACACAACTTTTTCACCAGCAGCATAAACATACTAGTACCTAATATATAGATAGCATATATAGATAAATACACCAAAATATACACACATATATATATATATGTATATATATATATATATGTATGTATGTATATGTAGATATATATATATACACAGTATATACACACATACACACATATATACACATATACATACATACAGTATATGTACATATACACATATATACATATATGTATGTACACATACTGTATACTGTATATATATACATACATATATACATATATACATACATACAGTATATATACATACATATATAGACATACATATACTGTATGTATATACACATATATACATATACATACATATACATATATTGTACATATATACATATACATATATATGTTTATATATATATATATATGTATACATACACAAACACATATATACATATATATAAGCCTAAGTCAGAACATATGTGTGGGCAGTAGTTTTTTTTCTTTGGCTAACTTTTAGTTCCCTCTCAGTCCTTTGTGTTTGACTGTTACAGACTGTTGATCAACATTATGGCTGGTTGATCCTCGTTTCAGCTCAAGCAACTAAACACGTTGTCTTACGTGAGTGCTTGACATTTATCTAACGATGAATCCCTTAAATATGGCCGAACGCAATGAGCAATTTTTCTTTTAAACTGCTTCAGCTTCTTGAAACTGGTCCAAAGTTCCTGACTAAAAAGACCAGAGTGGACACACAGACAAAGACGTGAATTATCTGTGCTGTGTTTGATTGGCTGCCAGAGCAGGAGAGGGGAGGACTTTGGGGGGGGAGGGAACGCAGCAGCGTTGGAACTAAATAAAAAAGTAAAAAAAAAAAAATTCGAAGTTGTTTTCTTCTTTTCTAAAGACCGTTGTGTGAGTCTGAGGAGGTTTTCTTCACGTGAGACGTGAGACTTCAGGAGTCCATCATCAACAGTCCTGGTCTTTCCCATGAAGGACAGGTTTGGTTTGGTTTTTGAAGTGTGCACGTGTCTGTTTTTCCCGTTTAAACTCAAACTGCTCTCCTCCTCCACCTTCCTTCCTTCTTTCCTTCCTTCTTTCTTTATTTCTTTCCTTCTTTCCTTCCTTCCTTCTTTCCGTCCTTCCTTCTTTCCTTCCTTCCTTCTTTCTTTTTTTCTTTCCTTCTTTCTTTCCTTTCTTCCTTCCTTCCTTCCTTCTTTATTTCTTTCCTCCTTTCCTTCCTTCCTTCCTTCCGTCCTTCCTTCCTTCCTTCCTTCCTTCTTTCTTTTTTTCTTTCCTTCTTTCTTTCCTTTCTTCCTTCCTTCCTTCCTTCTTTATTTCTTTCCTTCTTTCCTTCCTTCCTTCCTCCCCCCCTGTTCAGACACTGTCCTCTGTCTTACTGTCTTTAATTGTCCCCCTCTTCTTCCTTCCATTACTCTTGTTGTCTCCTCATTGATTATGCGTCTCCTCCTTTTACCGTCACATCTGTCTCTACTGTCCTTTCTAGTCTTTCCTTTCCTTCCCAACGTGCGTCTGTTGTCTCACCTCCTCACCTATTCTCCCCCCTCAACTTCCACCCCGTCAACTCCTCGTTCTTCCTCTCACTCTCTCACCTTTACTCTTCCTCTCTCTCTCTCTCTCTCATTCAGCCCCTTCCTCCCTCCGTCATCTCCTTACTCCTAACTTCATTTTCGTCACTCCTTGCTCCGTACACAATTCCTCGCCTCCTCACGTGTGTCCTCCCTCCGTGAGTCCTTGCCGTTACTGCCCTCCTCTTCCTCCCACCCATCTTCACAGAAGGCAGAAATGGATTCCATCACTAATTGTGCTGAAACAAACATGAGCTTGATTAATTCACGTTAGCGCCGCCGCCGCCGCCGCGCTGTGATGAATTAGTCGGAGGGAGAAGGAAAAGAAATAAAATAAAAGGAATTAAGAGAGAGTGAGGGGGAGAGAGAGAGAGGGAGAGAGAGGGACGGGGGACAAAAGGAAATGGGAAATGGAACGATAAATGGAAAACGATGAAATTGACAAATGGAGGAGTGGGAAAAAATAAAAAAAAGGCATGAAATAGAGAAAAAGAAGAAAAGAGAGAAAGAGCTATAAAAAACTATTAATTTTCTTTCATAAAATACTAATGTTAGAGTAAAATATATTTTTTTCCATTTCTAGATGAATGACAGTTGTGATATGGATTAATTTGGTCAGAGCCAGCTGGACAGGTCGTCGTCAGGAGACTCCAGAACATCTGGTCCCTCTAAAGCCCAGCTCAGCAACCGACTTAATAGTTTCTGAGGTCAAATATTCTGGAAAAGTTAAGCAGGTGTCTCGGTCAGAGTGTGTTTTCGAGGGAGCCCTCATTATCTGCACTAGAAAACATTAAATAGATTCAATGCCGTGTTCAAGTCGGCGGCTGTTTAGCAGTCACAGTGTGAGTCGGTCCCTTGGTATTCAGTGTGTGTGTGTGTGTGTGCGTGTGTGTGTGTGTGTGTGTGTGTGTGTGCGTGTGTGTGTGTGTGCACGTGTGTGTAGTCATTGATCAGACTGACAAAGACTTATTGTGTTGTCATTTCTTTTGACCCCTTTTGACCTCAATAGGCTGGAACATGCTTGTGTGTGTGCGTGTGTATATATAAACATACACACACACACACAAACTTATTTATTTATTTATGTTCCGTGTGTGTGTGTGTGTGTGTGTGTGTTTAGCACCAGTGTGTGTGACCTGCTAATTACTTGTCAGCTTCAACCACTTGTGTTAAAGGTGACACTTCCTCCCCGGAGTCTTTCCCTTGAACAAACGGAATGCACGCACACACACACACACACACACACGCGCACACACACACACACTCACTGCATGGATTAAACCAAAGACCTGTCCTTGAGCCTAACTAGTTCAAACCAAAATTCACTCCTGAAACCATCGCTGGTGTCTCATCAACACAAACAGGAGCACGCCACCGCCAGGTACATACACAGTACTACAAGTATCTGCTACTTCATGAGTATCACTTCAGTCGCCTCCCTGAAATATGACAACAACGGGGATGAAACGGCCGGAAGAGACGCCACAGTCAGTGCTACAAATGACGTAATTCTGCATCACCTCATAGAATGTAGTGTCCTACTTTTATTCACTGTTCAACAACAAACATAATTATAATATTTATATATATTTAATTATAAACAATATATAATCTCTTGGTCCGCTCCTTCGGTCTATTTCTGGTCAAAAACCTGTCCATTTTGCGCTAGCTAGCTGCGTGCTAGCTAGATGAGCAGGGTAGCTTGATAATAACAGGTGCAAACCACCAGGTCTGCACTGATCATGATGATGTCATACCAAAGATGAGGTCACACAAGGTGCCTTCACGTACTGTAGGAAACTTGACGATGGGACGATCACTGCAGCTTACATGTTGTACAGATCAGGACGAATAATAAAAATAAAAAATAAAAATTTTTCTTGTCATCTTTATTATTGTCTTTGTACCCCTAGCGCCCCCTGGTGGCACCAACCTTAATAACCACAAGTTTAAGTAATTTTTTATATACTGTAGTAAAAACAATGTGTTAAAAAAAAAAAAAACTAAACTAAACAGCCTAAATGTAGAAATGTTCAAATACGCTAGTTTTCGATCGAAATCTTTGACCTGAACCAGAGTCGACAAAGTAACATGATCCGAGTTGGTCGTCAGTAATGCCAGAAAGGTCACAAAGGTGAGGAGACACAGTCACGTGTTTTGGTCTGACCAGATTGACAGATCCATCACCTGATGTAACACCACTGCAACACCTGCAAGAACAGATTAGTAACGCTAATCCTCTCCCGCCCATCGGCGTCAGCCGTGTTTGACACGCGACTCTTTAATCGGCCCACACAGCAGTAGTTAGAACCTCATAGCTGTGTCATCCTGCACCGTCCACCTCATCTGTACAGTTAACCAGGAGCTCACGCTGACTGAATACCAACGCCGGAGTTTTCATTCTGGCTCTGCTCCCACTAACACAACACAAACATCAACAAACGCTGCTGCTGCTGCTGCTGCTGCTGCTGCTGCTGCTGCTGCTGCTGCTGCTGTGAGAGGAATTCAACATTACAGGAAGTAGACGTCCTCTGAAGTTAGGCCACGATCCTCGTTGGACCCAAACGACTAACGGGCCAATCACCTCTCAGGCTGATGAAGAAGAATATATTCATGCTAAAGAACGCAGGAGCTACGGCGGAGGTTGCCTTGACTTTGAACACCCAGGAGGACTGTTAGGCTTTGGTTTGTTTTGGGGACGCATTTACAATAAAAAGCAATAAATATCACAGTTTCCGTGAGGTTTTTAAATGGACCAAAATGAGCTCGGGAAAAAAAAGGATCTCCAGAGAGTTTAATCTTGGTGTAAGACTTTCACCGCATAAAATACTACAGCGTTTAACAGTGACTAAAACATCATTATGTCCATGGATACCATCAATATCAAGGAGAACTTTTGTAAAATAAGTCGTTATATCCTAGACCAAGGGACCGCAACCCCCGGTGCGGGGACCAGTGCCGGTCCATAGGTCGTGTGGTACTGGGCCAAAACGAAGAAAATGTACTTTAGTTTAATTAATTTACTTAATTCAAATGAATCCAGTCAGTTTTTCATTCAAAGATAATCTGTCAGTCTTCATTCAAATGAATCCAGTCAGTTTTTTATTCAAAGATAATCTGTCAATGTTTCAGAACAACAGGTCATTCAGACTCCGACACTGACAAAATAAAGTCTAAAAGATGTTTTATTTTGAAAATGTAATGATCCTTCATCAATGGCGAGGTATTACTGGTCCACAGTAACGTCTTATACCTGGTGACCGGCCGTAATAATCCACAAAACACAATTCAGCTGCCACAAAATTCACACCAAAAAGCAAGAAAAACTGCATTTGACTCACCGAAACTCCTGATTCTTCGTATTATATCCATCCTCCTCTCTTTTCCTTCAGATACTCCGTGCGTTCCTGTTGTAACATCGAGTCCTTCCTCCATCTTCGTCCATGCTAATGCTAACAGTCCAGTCTGTCCTGTCGTATTCGTGGCATCATTTTGAATTCACTTCAGGCTGAGGATGTCCATCCGACAGAAGCTGTGGACAAGGAGAAAACGTCATTTTAACTCAACTTACTGCAAGTAGCTAGCTGCAGTTTACTAGATGCAAAACTGTTTGTACTTTCACCATCCAATCAAATCATTCAAAACGTCAACATAGCTCTACGCCTGCTAGAAGGCCAACTCTGATCTAAAAAAAAACAACATCACTACTGATCATTTAAGGTTCCAGGTGATTCTGAAGGCCTTAAGGCAGATTTCTTTCACCCTGGCAACAGATAAGAGCTGAAATATGATTGGATAAAATAAAAGTTGTGATTTTAGAAAGGCCAAGTTGGTTATATTTTATAAAAGTTCATGATAAATGTATTGGAAAATAAGTGACAGATGGTGATACTGCTCAGGCCAGCAGAGATGACTTTGCTGTACTGCAATGCTAAACAGTTAGCTAACGGCTAGAAGTGCTTCAAAAACCAACAAGGCCTGACTTTTCCTGTCGTCTTACTTTTTTTTCTAAACCTAAAAACACTTCACTGTACATTTCAGAGTACATATCCCAACTTAAATACTCACAGATAAATGTTTTCCAGGACAAGAGTCCTAACAATGTCCACACTTCCTGTTTGTGCTCAACCACTCAAAGAGTGGCAGAAACCAACCAAGGTGATCATATAGTGAGAGGAGCACTCACTCCCATGCATTTTACCAAAGACCAGAGTGAGGGCTCACTCTTACAGGGCTCCTCAATCTACAAACCAGAGCACTCACTCTGAGGCGTTTTTTTTTTTTTTAACAAACAAACAACCTGTGTTTTTTTTTTTAACAAACAAATAACCTGCTCTATCGCAGTTCGGCTGTCACCCTTTCGCATTTTTTAATATTTTAAATGTATTCTTGTATTGCGGATTTTTTGCTTTATCGCAGGTTTTTGCGGTATATAAAAATTTTTAAACTGCCAATATTTTCATTATTAAAGGATACAATAAGCATTTTCCAGCCTAAGAAGAAGTAAAAACGTAAAAAAAAAAAAAAAGTCATTTTGTAACAGACAACACATCTGTGAAAGTTTCGTTATTTTTTATGCCATATTTCACAGACCTACGATGCCTCCTTAAAGGGTTCGTAAAGGGTTAATATATACGTTAAGAACATAACTATCGTATTGGTAACTAACATATTGGCGGATAATATTGGTTGGCCGATATTATCGGACAACGCTAGTACTAAATAAAACATTTGTCTTTAAAGACTTAAAGTCACAATCATCAAAACTGACTCTTCAAAGTCTTAAATGTTAAAACGTTTGATCCAAAGGTTTGGATCCTCACCTTCCGGAAGACTCTCCTCCAGCTGCGTGACCACCTGCGACCCTCAGACGCCCGACCTTTCTGCGTGCGCGGGATCCTTCTCCGAGGCACAGCTGGGTAAATAAAGATGGGACTAAAACGAGTCCACGCGGCACATCTGCTGTGCTCACCTATAAATCCTCCATCAAACACAGGGAAGAGGATCGATACCAAACAGCAGCACTGGCACTAATGGGCGTGCACGTGAGCGTGCACGTGAGCGTGCACGTTCACATCTTCTCACCATAATGCTATGTCAGCTGTATAAAGTTTGGAGAAGGTCTTTTTTTTTTTAATTCTGCTCACCCTCAACAGTTTTATTTTCTCCTACTTGGGAAACGGAAATGGGAGCAACGTCAGGAAAATTCACTCTGACTTTATTGGAAAACAAAATGAAAGTCACAGATGTGAACTTTTACCTTTCAATTCTGACTATTTTTTTTACTGATCGTTGTTTTTACGATTCCGGTTTCTTTCTCCCGGCAGTATAGACAAAAATATAAGTGTTCTTCATTGCAAAAGTTTATTGTCATAACTACTATTTATGAAACATTTCCCACGAACTGCACTCAGTCGCAGGTTCTTTCCTCACTTCGACAACTTGACAGAATAAAGTGCTCGGTGTTTGGAACGAGGAACTGAATGAAAATGTTCCTGTGCAGCCCACGTTCTGACAAATAAGAACGTTTGTGCAATAGATCTGTATGTAACATATTTATTGTAGAAGCAGCAGCATTTATGGCCTGGTTCCATAGTGTAGGGGTTATGGCACCAGCCTTACACACACCTATATAATTAAATATATATACATATATAAATATATATTTATACTGTATATGCAGTATATATAAAAATATATATAAAATATATATTTTTATATTTATT